AACACCATCATCTCATTTTGTTCTACCCCGAGATCACTGACCAAACCCTTTAGCCATAATGCTTCCTTTACTGCCTCAGTAATTGCCATATACTCTGCCTCAGTTGTTGACAAGGCGACTGTTGATTGCAATGTAGCTTTCCAACTAATGGCACACCCTAAGAGAGTAAAGACATATCCTGTAGTTGATCTCCTTTTGTCCAAATCGTCGGCAAAATCAAAGTCAACAAATCCGACTACATTTCCACTTGGATTAGCACTCCGATCATAGACTAGTCCAACATCTACCGTGCCTCGTAAATACCGGAGGATCCACTTCACAGCTTCCCAGTGTCCTTTACCTGGATTAGCCATATACCGACTAACCACACTAACTACATGTGAAATATCAGGATGAGTACATACCATAGCATACATTAAACTCCCAACAGCACTCGCATAAGGAACACGTGCCATAAACTTCTTCTCCTCCTCCGTTTCTGGTGACAAATTTGATGAAAGCTTAAAATGTGCTCCCAAAGGAGTAGTCACAGCCTTAGCTTCATGTAAGCCAAACCGCTCAAGTACTTTTTCAATGTACTTCTTTTGAGAGAGAAACAATTTACCTCCCTTGTGGTCCCTGTGAATCTCCATTCCTAAGATCTTCTTAGCTGCACCCAAGTCTTTCATCTTAAACTCACCACTAAGTTGCTTCTTCAAATCATCAATGATTAACATGCTTTTGGCAGCAATAAGCATGCCATCAACATACAACAGCAAGTAAACCCAAGAACCATCTCCAAGCTTTTTATGATAGACACAACTATCATAGTTGCTCCGAGTGAATCTACTCTTAACCATGAAGTTGTCAAATCATTTGTACCACTGCCGAGGCGACTGCTTCAATCCACATAAGGATTTCTGGAGCAAACAAACATGATCTTCTTTTCCTGAGACTATGAATCCCTTTGGTTGAGACATATATATCCGTTCCTCCAACTCACCATGAAGGAAAGTAGTCTTTACATCAAGCTGCTCCAACTCAAGATCATATAAAGTAACCATGGCAAGTAAAACACGAATAGAGCTGTGTTTCACCACAGAAGAGAATACCTCATGGAAATCAATACCCTCTCGTTGTGTGAAACCCTTCGCAACCAATCTGGCCTTGAATCTGGTTGTCTCTACCCCTGGGATTCCTTCTTTTCTCCTGAAGATCCATTTGCATCCAACAATTCTTTGTCCCTTTGGTGGCATGACAAGCTTCCATGTCTGGTTCTTATGTAGAGACTCAATCTCCTCTGTCATGGCAGCAAGCCAATAAGGAGATTCTTTACTGGTAATTGCTTCCCGATAAGTGTTGGGATCCTCAGCCTCCACTGGTTCTGTAACTGATAGAGCATAGGCAACATAATCTATATAGCCATATCTCTGAGGTGGTTTGGTCTCCCTCCTCTGTCTACCAGTAGCAATATTATACTGTTGTTGTGTTTGTTCAGGTGCCTCCACCTCCATTGGAGTATCTGTTAGCTCTGGATCTTGCACCTCATCTAGATTCTTTAGGACAATACTGTCGTCCCGCACTGCCTTTTCTAGAGTTGTTGCTTCAAACTCCACCTGCTTGCTAACTCCATGGTCTGGCTTTGCAATTATAGACTCCTCTTTTGCTTTTTGGAGCATAGTAGACTCATCAAAGGTTACATCTCTACTCATGAGGAACCGAGGTGACTTCTGAACACACCACAGTCTATAGCCTTTTACCTCGTAAGCGTACCCTAGAAATATGCACTTCACTACCCTTGGCTCAAGTTTACCATCCCTAACATGAGCATACACAGGACAACCAAATATCCTCAATTGTGAATAATCAGCAGGAGAACCTGACCATAATTCTTCTAAAGTCTTTAATCCAATTGCTATGGATGGAGACCAATTTACAAGATAGCTAGCATGCTTGACAGCTTCTGCCCAAAAGTCCTTTGATAATCCAGCATTTGAGAGCATACACCGTGCCCTCTCCAAGAGTGTGCGATTCATCCTTTCTGCAACACCATTTTGCTATGGTGTCATCCTGACAGTGCGATGTCTCACAATTCCATTATTCTTGCAAAAAGTATCAAACTCACCACTGCAGTACTCAAGACCATTATCTGTTCTTAGACGCTTGATTTGTTTTCCAGTCTGCTTCTCAATCAGCGTCTTCCACTGCTTAAAGGTGAGGAACACGTCACTCTTACTCTTTAAGGTGTATACCCACACCTTTCTTGAATAATCATCGATGAAGGTCAACATATACACAGCTCCACCTTTTGATGCAACAGGCGAGGGACCCCACAAGTCTGAGTGAATGTAATCAACTGTGCCTTGAGTTCAATGAACTCCTTTGCCAAACTGCAACCTGCACTGCTTGCCATAAACACAATGCTCACAGAAGTCTAGCTTGCCAATTTTCTGGCCACACAAAAGACCACGCTTGCTCAGCTCCATCATCCCTCTTTCACTCATATGCCCAAGTCGCATATGCCATAACCGAGTTACATCTTTATCTGGACTGCTTGAAGTTGACACAGCACATGTGCCATTGACTGTGCTTCCTTGTAAGTGATAAAGACCACCAACTTTCTTCCCTTTCAACATTACGAGAGCTCATTTAGAGACTTTGAGAACTCCACCTGCACAGGAGTATCGGCAGCCCTTGGAGTCAAGCTCACTCATGGAAATGAGATTTTTCTTCAAACCCGGCACATGATGAACCTCGAATGTTCTGACCATCCCATCATACATCTTGATCCGGATGTTGCCAATTCCAACAATAGGCAATGTTGTATCATCACCAAGAACCACCGTGCTAGTGGCTGGTTTATATGTTTCAAACCAGTCACGTCGTGGGCATACATGGAATGAGCAACTCGAATCTAAAATCCATTCCTCACTGGAGGAGTTTGTAGAGATAGATAGAACACAATCTTCATCATCTAAATTATCACTACAACTGGCAATGTTGGCATCACCGGATTTTTCAGCTTTCTTCTCCTTGAGCTTGGGACAATTTTTCTTGAAATGTCCCATCTCATTGCACTCGTAACATCGAGCATGCTTGGCTCTCGATTTGGATCGAGACTTTCCTCGCTTGTTGAAAGTTCTGTTATTTTGTCTACCTCTTATGACCAATCCTGCTGCTTGATCACCACTCTTGTCTCCGGACACCTTCTTCTTCAATTCTCTTGAATTCAGGGCCGCCTTGACATCTTCCATAGAGAGTTGATCTCTACTATGAAGATGAGTTTCAACAAAGTTGTCATAAGAGTCAGGCAATGAGCACAAAACAATAATTGCCCGGTCTTCATCTTCTATCTTCACATCGATATTCTTCAAGTCTAAAATGAGCTTGTTGAACTCATCAAGATGGTCTTTGATGGAACCACCTTCATTCATATTGAGGGTGAACAACCGTTTCTTCAGATATAATCGGTTAGTGACTGATTTGGTTAAGTAAAGGGCTTCCAGCTTCAACCATAATGCGGAAGCTGAATTTTCTTCTGCAACCTCCCCCAAGACTTCGTCAGAAAGTGAGAGCTGAATTGCACTCAGCGCCCGCTCCTTCAAGTCTATCTTCTCTTCCTCTGGTAGAGTTTTCGGTAGCCTGGCTTCCCTTTCTAGTGCTTTCCACAACCCCTGTTGTACTAGCATGGCCCGCATCTTCAACCTCCATAAGTTGAAATTTTTGCCACCATTAAATTTCTCAATCTCGTACTTAGCTCCGGATGCCATCACGATTAAACCAATTTCTCAAGCACTAACCACCGATGTAGCTCTGATACCAGTTTGTTGGAACAAATTGCTTGAGATTTTGGTTAACCTACTACAAGATTAAGAAATTAATGGAATAAAAAAATGTACCACCACAAGAAAGACAGAATTTACGTGGTTCAGCTCCAATTTAATTGAGCCTACGTCCACGGGTACTCATAAGGAAAAATTCACTATTAAAATAGTGAGATACAATTTGTGGTACTCTCAGAAAAATACCCAATCCCCAATTACACCCAAATCTTACTCATAGTATTTTTGAATGCGAGACACACTCAAAAAACACTCAGCAAAGTAATTTTAACCACTCTGTTCTTGCTCACACTCACCCAAAGCACTCACAAAACTCTTGTATTTTCTAGAGCTCACTTTGCTTTGGATTGCTCTTCTTGGTGTGATTTGCCGAATGGCCAAATGGCCTTTTATAGCCAAATGCCAACCACCCACAATGAATGCAATGGGCTCCAAAGTCATCATCCAACCATGCACAATAAATGTTGCATGGACAAAGTTGTAGCAACCAAATTTCCATTCAAAGGCTGCCATGAGACTTCCAATTTTTCAACAAAATTGGGCTGCCATGCAATTTCCCATGCAACCAAATTTCAAAGGCTGAAATTTGCTTTTCCAACCACCATGCAGAACCACATGCCGCAACAATTCTCATAAAGAAACAAGTATCTCAAATTTGTCAACTGACCCAAAGTTGGAGGGAGCGGACCAACAAGTCCGCAGCGATTGATGCGAAGATTAGTGAGATTCGTCAATTCCCCAAATTCTGGAGGGATGGAGCCACTAAACGAATTGGAACTGAGATCTAGAAATGTCAAAGTGGTTAATTGTCCAAGACGGGATGGTATTAGACCCACAAACAAGTTTCCAGATAGATCCAGAGAAACCAAGTTCTTTAAATTTCCCATTTCTGAAGGTATGGATCCATTGATTTGATTGTTTGCAAGAGACAAAGAAACCAGATTGGTTAAATGACTGATGTTGGAAGAGATTGGACCATTGAGGGAGCAATAACTCATGTCTAAGGCTACAAGACTCTTCAAGTTCCATATTTCTGAAGGGATACTACAACAAAAAGGATTTGAGGCCAACTCCAAGTGGGAAAGATTGGTGGGAAGGCCTATAATTGGAGCAGTGGATGCATTGAGGTTGTTCCCAGTCAAGTTCAAAGAAACAAGATTCTTCAAACTCCTGAATTTTAGGGAGATGGAGTTTATGTAATTGAAAGATACGTCAAGCATCCGTAATTGAGTGAGATTTCCAAGTGAAGAAGGCAATGTACCTGTTAGATGGTTGTTGGACAGATTAAGGTGCTCGAGTCTTGGAAGATCACCAATTTGATGTGGGATGCTCCCATCGAGTCCTTGATGGCTAAGATTAAGGCGAACAAGATTGGGGAAGGAAGAAAAGTTCATTTTTCCAAACTTCTCTCCCACACTAAAATCAGGTGGACTAATCTCGGTAATGCTCCCAGCACCGTCACATGTTATACCAGGCCAGCTACAATGGTCTGCAACGTTGTTGATGGAGGCATTCCACCACCCACTCTTCCACAGGGCTAGTGCCTCCGGTGTTGTCCCGGCCACAAATGTGCTGCCAGTGCCAGTACAAATTGTCGAGCAGAAAAATAAGGAAGCCCATGTTAATAACTCGATGGAAATGCGAATGTAAAATGCCATGTTAAGTTTGATTTTTCAAGTTGAGGTGTTTTGCTGGGTTTAGGAGCAAAGGTAGATATTTAAGGTGCTCGATCCCATCAGGTTCAGATGACTGAGCTGACTTTTTTTTGTTTTTTTTTTTTTTTTTTGGGCCTTCTGTATTAAGAGGATGCAGCCACGAAGTTTCCGGGTAAACTTAAACCACGAAGACTTGAATATGTGACAGTAATTTTTTTATTGACAAATAGTTTAAGGTTGTTTGGCAACAGTTTTTTCTTTTTTTTTTTTAATCTTATTTTGCAGTGTTTTTTTTAGGGTTGCTTACTAGCTTTACATTATAAGCAAAATTTTAAAAACTTTATCTTTTAAATTTTAAATATTCTGAAGGGAAAACTTTCATTTTTTTTTTAAAGGTAAATAATGCTTACAAGCAAGTTTTGTATAGAGACGCATGTGCACAGCACAGCACCTTTCTTTTGCTGATAAAAAATAATTGGTCGGCTCCCACCATCCACGCGCGTTGAACAGTCAAGGTCGGTCGTCTCCCCATGGTCACTATCCATGCGTTGCACTCAATTACTAATCTTTTCCAAGGGTACCATTTAGTGGAATCGGAAAAGTAATGTCAGATGAAATTTCTTTTCTTTTGATTGCAGTTTAACTTTTAGAGTTGACTCAGGTCTTTCTTTGGAAGTATCAATGAAAGAAGATGGCACAAAACAAGATCTTTAATTCTTTGTTATTGTAATGACAATTTCTTTCCATTGTAGAAATTAAGCTTGATCAGGACCTTTAGAGTTGGTTCAGTCTTTTGTTTGGGGTAAAAGACTTTATATCCACGAATGAAGTGGACACACCACAAGTGAGGGATTTAATTTTTTCTCTTAGAAACTAATCATGAAGTTGCCTACCATATAAATCTTTGCATATAGTCATTCGTGACTGTTCTTTTAAGGGACCGAATAGAATGAGCAAAGAAAATAAAACTTCAATAATTTTTTTAAAAATAATTGATATGTAATCATATTTTTTTGTATTTATTTATTTTATTTGTTAAAATATAATATAAATATAATTAATTATATATATAATATAAATACAATTATTTCTTATATCTTACCTACAAGATTGTATTTTTAAATTTATTTATATTTAATTTCAAATAAAAAATAATTTTTTAATAAATATATCATATAATGTATTGAACCAAAAATTACACCGATCATTATTCTAATTTTTATCCTATAATTAATATTGGGGTCATCTCTTCAATAAATGTATGATCCAGCTTTTGTTCTCAAGTTATTTTTCTTATGGTTTCTATGAAAAAAATCGATTTTGTTTCCAAAGAAAGAAAAATTTATTAGACCTTGTGATTATTGTTTTTTAATTTTTGTAGAACAAAGATGTTCGTGAATCCCACCATTTTGGTCTAATTGTTTTCTCTTAAATTAAAAGGACTTGGAGATTGAATAGTATTTTTTTTTTTTATTTGGTCATGGGAAGTTAATTATTTCTATGAAGAAAATATTAGCTACAAAAGAAAAGGGAAGCTTCCATAAAGCTAGCTAGTGACCCAATTGTATGCAGAAATCTATCACTCGAAAAGTGTAGAAATTATTATTCTCTCGTCTTTTTTAATTATTTTAATTTGAATTTTACATAAATCTTACCTAAAATTTTTATACAATGATAAATAGATGACCATTAAAAAAATTTCTTTTTATAAATATCTTTTATTAAGTAGTTTTATTTAAATCAAATTATTTTTTAATTATCATTGATTTACTATATATTATATAATATAGTATGGTATTTCTAAGAGACAAATGTAAATTAAACATCCATACATCTTTTCTTCTGCGGCCAAGGTGGAACGTTTCCCACTTTCGATTAACAACATGCGTTCTACTTACGCGACGACTAAACTTTTTCAAGGGACTATTTCGAGGAAATTTCTTTTGATTTCAGTTAGATTTTTAGAGTTGCCTATGGGTGACCCCAAAGGGAGGCCATGTACCCTGGTCTTTGCATACAGCCAGTCATGACTTCCTTTAAGGGACAAAAACCTGTTACCAAGTCAGTTCTGCAAACCAACCGCACCTTTGTCGTGTGTTTGGGGTTGCTTATACATTAACCTTTGGTCAATATAAGTTTGGTAACGGGAAATAATTATTTTTTATCGAATAACCATAGATTCATTAATAAATAAATATAATATACATCAAGCAAATCTATGATAATAAGCGTCATATAGACAAAGAAATATAAAAGCCAGAAGTGCGCTAATGGAAAATGAGTGTTCAATTTTCGTATGGAAAATGATTAATATGTTTTCGATTCAATATATTTTTTAATATTTGTCTAGTTTATTTTTTAAACTATAATATAAATATAACTAATTTAATTAGTTCTTACATTTTATATATATGATTGAATTTTTATATTTATCTACTTTTAACTTTAAATTAAAAAAAATAATTTTTAATAAATAAATTGTGCAATATATTGAATTAGAAAGTGTACTGATTAGTGTCTATCTTCGCATTTAGGATTAGGAAATGAGAAAAATTACAGCATTAATTCAACTTCTGTCATTTTGCTGTCCTGGAAATATGAAGCAAATAAGACTACTGCAATTCTTCAGCCACCAATTTTCTGGTCACCATCAAATATGGTGTAACTAAACCTTCAAATCTTAATTTCCGGAGAAAAAAAAAGAAAAGAAACTTCCAAATTTGAATTTTTTTTTTTTTTTATTTGGTCGTTGCAGGTTATTTCCATGAAGAAAAGTATCATCTACAAAGAAAAAGGGAAGCATCCCATTCATATGGAATTGGTTTGACCTTGGTACGTAGAAATACTTTGATATAATAAAACTAGCTGGTGACCTAATTGTATGCAGGAATATTCTATCACTCAAAAAATGTTGAAGTTACTACTCCTTTTGATCCTTTTCAGTATATTTAATTTGACTTTTATATATATTTTAATTCACTATTTTTATATTTTATAGATGAAAAAAAAAATTCTTTCTATACATACTTTTTAATAAGTAAGTTCATTTAGATTACGTGATTTTTTCAATTATCATTGATACTATATAAAAATGTAAAAAGTACTTCTTAAGGAACAAGTTTACACATTCATTCCATACATCTTTTCTTTAGCGGCCAAGGTGGGTCGTTACCCACTCACGGTTAAACACGATGAGATATGAGTTGCACGCAATGACAACTTTTCCAAGGGGACTATTTAGTGGAAATTTCTTTTGATTGCCCGCAATGACCAAGCCTGAAGGATGGATGTATGCTTTTTGCAAGGGGACTATTCAGGGGAATATTTCTTTTCATTAGTATATATAAAATTAAAAACAAGGCCTAAACCTTTCTACCCTTATAATTTAAACACGAAACGAAAATTCTACTGTCATGTTTATCTAATTTCAAAGATATTTTGTAATATATATACAAAATATTACCTTTTTCTTTGGTAAATAAATCACAATTTCACTTGTTAGTTGCTGTAATACCATGGATGATTTTGGACAGATAAGTGACATGCTTTATGGCATTAATGCTCCTTCCCCAAACGCATAAGGACACAAAATCCTCGACTTAATATGTTTATAGTTATCTTCTAGTTTGGAAAATTATTCTCTGCAAGACAGAATATATGGTGCTGCAATGTTGCAGCAACAGATCCATGGTGTTCAGCTTTTATTCACTTAAAAAAAAATTGCAAGCATTTTTATTTTACATTCTTTCCCTGGTCCATCTAATAGTTATGCCGGTAAGCCTAGATATCTTCCTTTTTGAGCAGAAGTGTATTAATAGGCTCTCTACACTGGAGATAAACATTGAAAAGGCTCTTTTGTAGCATATGCTATGTCTGAAAAAGTTAATGCCCTTTCTTTATTGCTTGCCTAACATCTTCTATGCTATCAAGGTTGATTGAAGCAATTGGGGGAATAGTTTCCAAGGTACACTATGATGCTGTCTGGATTCTTTAAAAAAAAAAATAATACAGCCAATTTCTTCTCTGCCAAGTGTCGAACTTTGTGTCGGTGCATTCATGTGTTATTCCCCATTATGGAACTCATTTCCTCATCTATGGCTTCCTTCCAAAAAGTTGAATGTTGTGACTTAATTGCTTCTTCAAATGTCATAGGATCAGCTTCTATATTATAACAAAATTTAGTTGCTTTCCTTGTCTTTTCTCTTGTTTCTTCAATAAGAAACATGTAAAATTCTGGACCATATGTTCTTGCTTTTCTAGTTCTTTTGCTTCTTCTACCTTCAATGTTTTCTTCCAACTTGTTTTCTTGCAAGTTGTCTTCTATTCTTTGTTCTAAACTTTTAGCAATTGTTTCTTTAGGTCTAGGAATTGAATTAAATTTGCTCTCTTCAAAGATAGCATCTCTTGATTCAATTATGGTATTGATATTAATTGAATCATTTGGTTCAATGACCATAAACCGGTATGCCTTACTATTTTCTGCATACACCAAAAATATACATTCAATTCCTTTTTCACCTAACTTTTTCCTTTTGGATTCAAGTACCCTTACAATTGCTCTACAACCCCAAAATCTTAAATAGTTAAGGTTTGTTTTTCTTTTCTTCCAAAGTTCATATGGGATAACTTGGCCTTTTTTAGTAGGCACGCTATTCAATATATGGCATGATGTTAGCAACGCTTTACTCCAAAAACTTGGACTTAAACCAGAATTTGACAACATGGCATTCACCATTTCAGTTAAAACTCTATTCTTACATTCTGCCACACCATTTTGTTGTGGTGTGTATGGGGCTATTATCTCATGGATAATTCCAATGGATTCAAAGTAAGATGGATCATAATATTCCCCACCTCTATTAGTTCTTAGACATTTGATAAATGTCTCACTTTACAATTCCACTTTTGCTCTATAAACTTTGAATTTTTTCATTGCTTCATCTTTTGTATTTAACATGTAAACATAACAGAATTTTGAATAATCATCAATAAAAGTAACATAATATTTCTTGCCACCAATAGTAGGGGTACTATGCATGTCACAAACATCACTATGCACAAGATCAAGCAATTTAGAAACTCTTTCAATCTTAGGAAGAGGAATTCTAGTAATCTTAGTAAGCATATATGTCTTGCATTGTGATTCATTTTTAGGCAATGTAAGAATTAATTCTAATTTAGACATCTCATGCATCTTCTTGAAATTAACATGTCCTAATCTTTGATACCATAAATTAACTAAGTCAAGAATATAAGAAGAAACAACACCCTTATTATTACTATTATTATTAATGTTCATCTTGAACATGCACTCACAAGCATAGTATTTTCCTACAAAAGTCCCACCCTTAGACAAAATAAATTTATCTGTCTCAAATATTAATGTTCATCTTGAACATGCCCTCACAAGCATAGTATTTTCCTACAAAAATCCCACCCTTAGATAGAATAAGTTTATCTGTCTCAAATACAAGTTTAAAACCAAATTTGTTCAACAAACTTGCTGAAACTAGATTTTTCCTGATATCCGGCACATAATGCACATCAGTGAGAGTGAGAACTTTTCCAGAAGTGAACTCAGGGTCCACAGTTCCTTTGCCTTTCACTTGTACTATTGTAGAATTTCCCACATACAGCACACTCCCTTCAGGTTTTGGTTTTAAAGTCTTTAATAGACTTTTGTCCTTATAAACATGCTTTGTAGCACCAGAATCTATCCACCAAGCAATGTCATCTTCCATGAGATTAATTTCAGAAATCATAGCAATGAATTTTTCATGTGATCATGCTAGTGCATTCCTTTTCTTCTTGAGAAAATAACATTCCCTTTTGAAGTGTCCAATTTTTCCACAATGGAAACATGCACCGTTTTGCTTCTTAAATTTTTGATTTTGCTTGACAGAATACTCCTTCTTCTTGAAAGGCTTTTTGGGCTTGCTTGAAGTTCCTTCCTCCAATACATGCACATCTGAGACTTACACTTTCAGCTCCTTTTCATTTTCTGCTCTATTTTGCTTTTTAAATTTCAAAGAGTTAGCAAGATTTTCAAGAGAAATATCTTCCTTTTTATGTTTCAGTGTTCTCTTGAAATCTTTCCATGCATGAGGAAGTTTATCAATTATTGAGGACACAACTATGGATTCATCTATCTTCATATCATATTGCTTGAAACTATTCAGCAACTTTTCAATTTCTCTAAATTGTTCCATGACTAATTTGCTATCAATCATTTTATAATTATTCCATCTGGTCACCAGAAACTTCTTACTTGTTGCATCTTCATTCATATATCTTGCTTTTAACTTATCCCACAATTCTTTTGCAATAGACTCATGAACATAGGTATCAAAAAGGGAATCAGACATACCATTTAAGATGCAGCCCCTGCAGACATAATCATCGTTCTTCCACTTTTTCCTTTTTGTTGTATCTTGCAAAGTTTCATTCTCATTTCTCTGGTTGAGCATTAGTGAGAATATAAACGATGTTGAGAGTTGTGAAAAGGATGTGCATCTTTCGTTGCCATCGAATAAAGTTGCCCCCATCAAAGCGATCTAACTTTTGGAAATTAGTAGCCATCTCACACAAAGTTGCAGCCATAATTGCAAAACAAAAAATTAGCCGAAAGATTGTTGGAGAAATAGGGTAGAAAATTTGCAAATGGTTTCAAGGCATGTTGCAAATGCCACTTTCTTTTAGGCTAATTTCGCTCCCACCAGATCTGATATGCAAAAGGGGTAACCCAAAATGCCCGTAAGATACAATAAAGTGCCTTATTGATCTTGTCTTTGCACTAGCAAGATCAACCACTGAACCGTCCTTTGAAAACCATAGTTTTTGTACAGGGTTTTCTGCAACAATCGAAGTGCAAAAAGGGGTTGTTTTATTTAGATAATAGTAGGGGTTTGTTTCTGGGTTCAAAAGACAAAGAAGAAGAAGAGATAACTTCATATTTATAGGGGCAAGATGTCTATTGGGAACAGATGCTCCTTTTCAGTTTATTATTAATTTATTAACGGATAATAATTGAGTTTTCATGAAATTTATCCCTTGGAATCTCTTCCAAAAGTCATTTGGTTTGATTTGAACTCCAACTCACATGTTTCCTTGCCTTCCAAAGGTATCCACTCTCTTCAGAAACTTATCAGAATTTTATCTCTTATTTCTGACGTAAATGGTTCAAACCAGATAAATGTGGTTCAAACCAAAATCATAACTTTCCAGATTCTGGTTTTACATAAATGGTTCGAACCATAATTATATGGTTCAAACCAAAGTTACACTTTCTCAAATGCATTCTGTGCAATTGTTTTGAACCAACTTTTTATGATCCGAACCCAAATCTTGGAAGTATTTTGAAAATTCTTCAACACGTTTTTCCAAATTTCTCCCCCTCACTGAAATCAGGTGAACTAATCTCGGTAATGCTCGCTGCCCCGTTGCATGTTATGCCAGGTCAACTGCAATGGTCTGCAACGTTGTTGGTGGAGGCATTCCACCACCCACTCTTCTTCAAAGCTTTTGCCTAAGGTGTTGGCCCTGCCACAAATGCGCTGCCAGTGCTGGTACCAGGAAGTTTACTTTCTTATTCTCCTCTACTCTCCCCCCAAATGAACTTTCAAGAAAGCTTTCCCCACAAATATCTTCTTTGGCTTAAAACAGGTTTGGCATATATTACCATAGATGATGGGGCAGCTTAGACTTCATATCCATGTATGAAGAGGACACATCACAACCCAGGTGTTTAATTTTCTATTATTGGACAGTTTTTTTCCTAGGAAGTAACCATGAAATTGCCTAGATCACCTACAAAGAAGAATGAATTTCACCATTCCTAGCCTAATTTTTTTTCTCTTAAATTACAAAGACTTAGAGATTGAATAGTATTTTTTGTTTTTAGTTTTTTTTTTTTTTTGATTTTGTCGTTGCAAGTTTTTTCCATGAAGAAAAATATCACCTTAAAAAAAAGGGAAGCATCCATGCATATGGAATTGGTATGACCTGAGTGGAAATACTTTGATTGAATAAAGCTAACTGGTGACCCAATTGTATGAAGGAATCCATCACTCAAAAATTGTTGAAGTTAATACTCTCTGCTGTCTTTAAAAAATTTTTGAATTAATTTGACTTTTAGATATACTTTAAATTAATATTTTTATATATCAAATAGATGATAATTGAAAAAGTTCTCTCTATACATAATTTTTATCAAGTAGTTTCATTTAAATCAAATAATTTTTTTAATTATCATGGATACTATATAAAAATGTAGGAAGTACTTCTTGAGAAACAAGGTGTACACATTCATTTTATACATCTTTTCTTTTGCTACTAAATCTCCTATTTGCACCTTACATATTACTTTTTTATAGTTGAAACTCTAAACTAATTTTTCTTTTTGTCAACTTTTTTCATAATTTAAAATTTATAAAAAAAAAAACTCAAAAATTAATAGTCAAACTCTCCATTTACACCATGACTTTATTGATAATTTAAGATTTTTTTTTATGAATTTTAAATTATGAAAGATATTAACTGAAAAAAAATTAATTTAAGGTATTGATCATGGAAAGAAAAAATATCTAGAGAAAAATAAGGTGCTTTAGCCTTTCTTCTGCTGCCAAGGTGGGTTGTTACCCACTCCCTGGTAACACCATAAGACATGAGTTGTACGCAATGACAACTTTTCCAAGGGGACCATTTAGTGGAAATTTCTTTTGATTGCCCGCAATGACTTAAGCCTAGCAAATGGATGTATGCTTTTTCCAAGGGGACCATTTAGGGAAGTATTTCTTTTCATTAGTATAAACTTAAAAACAAAGTCTAAACCTTTCTACCCTTATAATTTAAACATGAAACAACAATTTAACCCTCATGTTTATCCAATTTCAAACATATTTTGAAGAAAAAAAATTTTTTTAAAAAAAAATACCTCTGTTTTTTGGTAAATAAATCATAATTTCACTTGCTAAGTACCATGGATGATTTTGGACAAATAAGTGACATACTTTATGGCAGTAAAACCCCTTCCCCGAACACATAAAGACACAAAATCCTCAACTTAATCTGTTTCTAGGTTTCTTCTAGTTTGGATAATTATTCTCTGCAAGACAGGATGTATGGTGCTGCTGCAATGTTGTTGCAACAGATCCATGGTGTTCAGCTTTTATTCACTTTAAAAAAATCTACGCCTATATGTTGCATGCAATTTTATTTTACATTCTTTCCCTCGTCCATCTAAAAATTATGCTGGTAAGCCTAGATATTTTCCTTTTTAAGCAGAAGTGATTAATGGGCTCTCTGCACTGGTGATAAACATTGAAAAGGCCCTTTTGTAACATATACCATGTTTGAAAAAGTCAATGCCCTTTCTTTATTGCTTGTCTAACATCTTCTATGCTATCAAGGTTGATTGAAGCAATTGGGGACATGCAATAGTTTCCATGGTACAGCATGATGCACTCTGGATTCTTTAAAAAAAAATACAGCCAATTTTTTCTGCTGAGTGCTGAGCTTTGTGTCGCTGCATTCATGTGTTTCGGTACAAAAAATTTGTAGTCCTGCAGGTTGAGAAATATATACAAAACAAGTTGGTATTCGATTTCAACATATTAATACAGAAAAGTAAAGCATGAAATAGACAAACAGATTTATTTTTTAAAAAAAAAAAGGACAAGGAAACTCGGTTGAATCTAATTTGAGGAAGAACCATGGAACTCATCATCTAGATGACATGAAACTTCTGAATGAGATTCTCTCTCATTTTCCATCCCCAAATCAGTATTTAGTTTTGCAAGTTCTAATACAATTCCCGGTTGAGGTTCCCTTCCATTTTCCATCCCCAAATCGGAACTTACAAGTTCCAACAAAGAAATAGTTGAAATAGGCTTCAAAAGCTGTTTTTGGCGGGCAACAAATTGTTGAGACACATATTTCATTGTTGGTCTGGACTTGGGTTTTGCACGCAAGCAAGCCAATGCAAGCATAGCAGCAACAACAATACTTTGGATAACATTTCTGCTTCTTGGAGGCGATGGACGTGTGTCCAATACATCACTTAGCATCACATTTTGCAAAGAATATGGTTTTGATAACAATGTCAACAGTTCTCTAGGATGCCTTCCCATTAGTACTTCCAATGCTATAACCCCAAAGCTATAAACATCACATTTCTCAGTCATAACCATTGTATAGGCAAGCTCTGCATAGGTAAATCACACATTTCACATGTCAATTTAATGGTAAATAGTGAAATAAGACAACAAAAGAAGAATGTTGTTATGTTAATAGAAAAAACCTGGGGCAATATAACCATAGGTGCCAGCAAGCGTGGTATGATTAGATGAATCAGGATCCAAAAGCCTAGCATTTCCAAAGTCAGAAACAAAAGCCTCTAACTCCGAGTTTAATAGAATGTTGTTGCTTGATATGTCCCGATGAAGGATGGGTGGGATACAGTCATGGTGAAGGTAACACAAAGCATGTGCTGTGTTTTTTATGACATTCACCCTTCTCATCCAGTCCAATTCCACAGCTTCAGCATCATCTCTAAGAACACAAAACAAGCTTCCTCTTTCCATCTATTCATAGATCAAAAACATGCACTGTCTATGTAGACAGAACCCATGAAGCTTGACAATATTCTTATGTCGTATTTCTGTCAACATCTTAGCTTCATTCCTAAAACTCCTGTCAAAAGTGGGTACCTCCGATTCCCTCCGATGAAGTTTTTTTAAGGCAACTACTTTGCCATTTGGCAATTGTGCCTTGTAAACACTACCATAGCCACCAGTACCAATGCAATATCGAATGTCGAAATCTTCAGTTGCTGCAATAATGTCTTCAAATGCAACCCTCCCATCAAAGTTCCATATTGAGAACATATCCCCATTTTTTGTTGGACTTAGAATTGCTTCCTTACTTTTTGCTCCATTTATTCTTCGAGAAAGTAACAGCAATGCCAGAGATACCAACACAAGAGAAATGGTGCTAAGAAGAATAATTTTAATATGTCTCATCACTTTGTTGGAATTTTTTCTATGTTGAGTGAAAGGAGAAGGCGAAGTAGTGGGGCTGCTAAGAGGATAACCGTATAAGCTTGGGTTGCCTATAAAAGAGTTGTATGGAAAACCAGCCAAATTTGGTGGGATTGGGCCTGTGAGATTATTGCAACTAAGATTCAAGCCAGATAGATTCCAGTTTCGTAAATACCCAAGTTGTGAAGGTATTGACCCTTTCAAATGATTTGACTCAAGATACAAGATGGTCAAATTGGTTAAATGAACTAGAGTGGAAGGAATAGGACCAGTGAAATTGTTAGCACTAAGATCTAAAATACATAGATTCTTCATATGTCCTATTTCATATGGGAGGTCTCCACACAATTTGTTTCGGGAAAGGTCTAAATACTGCAAAGATTTCAAATGCCCAATCTCTTTGGGTATTGAACCTTTTAAAAGATTTGAATTAAGAGACAATGTTTGCAGATTGGGTAAATGAAGTATGGCGTAAGGAATTGAACCAGTGAAATTGTTAGTACCAAGATTCAAATACTGCAAATTAGACAAATGAGATAGAGATGAAGGGATACGACCAGTTATTTTGTTTTTACTAAGATCCAAGTGCCACAAATTATATAGACTTCCTAAATTTTGAGGGATAGAACCATCAAAGTTATTTGAACAAAGATTCAAAACTGACAAATTGGACAAGAGACCTAAAGATGGAGGGATTTGACCTGTTAAATTGTTTTCATAAATATACAATCTCTACAAATTGGACAAACGAGATAGAGATGAAGGGATATGACCAATTATTTTGTTATTACTAAGATCCAATTCCCGCAAATTATATAAACGAGACAGAGATGAAGGGATACGATCGGTTATTTTGTTATTACTAAGATCCAATTCCTGCAAATTATATAGACATCCTAAATTTTGAGGGATAGAACCATTCAAGTTATTTAAATAAAGACTCAAAATTGACAAATTGCGCAAACAAGACAGAGATGAAGGGATACGGCCAGTCATTTTGTTATAACTAAGATCCAATTCCCACAAATTATATAAACGTGACAGAGATGAAGGGATACGATCGGTTATATTGTTAAAACTAAGATCCAATTCCCTCAAATTATATAGACATCCTAAATTTTGAGGGATAGAACCATTCAAGTTATTTAAACAAAGACTCAAAATTGACAAATTGGACAAGAGACCCAGAGATGGAGGGATGGAGCCACTAAATGAATTGAAATTGAGATCTAGAAATGTCAAACTGGTTAATTGTCCAAGACGGGATGGTATTAGACCCACAAACGAGTTGTCAGATAGATCCAGAGAAACCAGGTTCTTTAAATTTCCTATTTCTGAAGGTATGGCTCCATTGATTTGATTGTTTGCAAGAGGCAACGAAACCAGATTGGTTAAATGACTGATGTTGGAAGAGATTGGACCATTGAGGGAGCAATCGCTCAGATCTAAGGCTACAAGACTCTTCAAGTTCCATATTTCTGAAGGTATGGATCCATTGATTTGATTGTTTGCAAGAGACAAAGAAACCAGATTGGTTAAATGACTGATGTTGGA